AGAATTCATAAAGAAACACACAACCACTTGCTGATCACTGATGTTGAGGACTTCACATTTCCTTACTTTGAAAGACTCATAGGAAAACATACTGTAAGAGTTTCTAAATATAAGTATGTCCTATAAAGTCTATTTTAACATCTCATTTTTATTTTTTAAATTTACACAAGTTTGCGTTAATGCTATATTATCTTTGATACCAAAGATGCAAAACTTGCAAGAGTGTATTGCCATATAAAATCTTCCAATGAATTAAATATGATGTACAATTCAACTAAATAATTACAATTCTAGTCTGGAGATAATGTGAAAAAGTGGCTTATGGAAAATTGTGTTGAAACAGCATCAGTCTCACAGAAAAGCTCACTTCCATCAATCGTTTTCCTCGCTCGTCTCCGAAAACAATGCTTAAAATGTTCTAAACATAATAACTCATGGTGTTAAATATTTTTGAAAACTGTAAAAACAGAATTACATGAAATTTACCAAAAGATAACAGTCTTCTAAAAATCCTGTACTGTAATGGTCCCATATCACAGTAAAGGCAACAATGCTCAAGTAGTGCAAACATATGAGTCAACAGATATAGGTATTCAATTGGAAGGACACAAATTTAAAGATAGGTCAGTAATGTTCAAATAATATCAATGAAACAATAGAACACACATGGCACACAGTACACAGAATAAAATGTTATATCCTTCACTGGTCTGTCATTGGCACATAAATGGCTTACAAAACAATGCAATCAAATAAAGTTAGTCTAAAACCCACCCACAGACACAGTACCCTTGTTAACAAAGAGAGGGGGAGAAATGAACTAAAACTCAAATAGTTAGATCAACTCACAATAACAACAATAATTTATTGAAAAAGCAACACTTGATTTAAAATTGAACTCTGTATTTGTTTGAAGTGGGTAAGGATCGTAACCCTGCATCTGATTGATGGGAAGGTTTTGGTGTTTCGCGTTGTAAAGAGGAAGCTCTTTTGCTATTCAAAACACGACCTGTAGGATTAGGTATTAGACGTAACTTAGATCCAGCAGAGTCTTCACTAGTACCAGAGTCACGCATCCCGGCCTCTGACCCAATGCCTCCTCTCAACTTCCTCTCAGGATCGCTTGATCTGCTGGCGTCACTAAGTTTCCGAGGTGATGGTAAAAATCGTGCAGGAGAGTCTCGGGTTTTAGCAGTGATATCAACAGATCCATCACTACTAGAATTGGTTGAAAGCTTTCCATAGTCGCTTAGCTTACGGGGCGGTGGTAAGTATGAGCGACTTGGTGGCTCTTGTATTTTGCAGCTGTCGGTAGAATTGGAGGACAATTTGCGGCCAGGCTCACTATCACTCAGCCTGCCATACTCACCGAGTTTTCTTGGCATTGGTGGCAAAGAATCCCTCCCTTTGCTGCTAGCTTCTGCCAATCCATCCAGACTTGAATTGGTGGAAGTTTTGCGTGTGCTCTCCCCATCACTGAGCCGTCCGTATTCTCCAAGACGGCGGCTACCGTGGGAACGCCGAGGTCGTGGCAAGGAACTGGGAGGTAGGCTGCCAGAGCGACTCTGGCTACGGACATCCAAAGAATCAGCCATTCTCTGCTGTTGGCTGCTCAAGCCTTGCTTTTCCAAGAGTAGCATTTCCTCAGGCCTGGCGGCTTCATAGCGTGACTGAGCCACCAGTCCCTGCCACACGCCTACACTTGCCAATAATGGCTGGGACACTTTTCCTTTTCTCGACGCAGAACTTGGATTAGAGAATCCTGGAAAACAGCACAGACCTCTCTGAAAGGGAAAGAGACAAAGGCCCGAGTGAGGCGTGTTTCTCACGGGAGAAAAGAGGGTTAGGAGTTAGCAACACGTCAACACACGTGCATGCTGGAAAGGTGGAATGGGATCAGGAAAGGAAAGGGATGTGAGAACACACGAACACAACAAACCACACTGAAGCTTCAAACATAGGGGGGAAAAGCATTAGATGGATAGTTTGTTTTCTTTAATTGAGGAGTCATTGCTTAAAATGAGACTGTTTCAAACATATACCATGCATGATGAGATATTAAAAATTGTGGCAAAGTTAGATAGTTATATGGCACAAAATGCTTGCTTGCAAAACGCAACGGTATACTTGCTCATCTCTGCTCTTAAACAGAAATCTAAATAAAATTTCACAAAATTAAAGTATTAATTTGGAATGGAAATTCTATATCCACTTTGAAAATCCGAAAGTAGAGAAGACCCACTTTTGTAAACATTGGAAAAAAATGTCATAAAATACTAATAAATCAGACTATAGCAAAGATTGGGTCTAACCTACTGTTGAATTATTAGAGCACAAGCCACTGGCCAATGCCCAAATTTTCACAATTTCATTGTTATAGTTTAAAATAAATTAGAAAAAATGTTTATTTTCTTGCAAGATGTAAGATACCTCTTTTTGCTGAGTTTATCTTACACAAAACTAAACACTGAAATAATAGCAACTCAGAAAAGGGCAGAGAAAAAAACAAACCAAACACACATACCTTGCTTAACATTTTAGAATCCAATTGAGAGTCGAGCTGAGAATCCAGTTCCTTAAGTTCATCATCAAGGCTCTTTTTGGTCTGGTCAAAGCTTTGACCAGCACCAAACTTGGAATAGCTTCCAGAAGCTGAGTGGTGGTAGCCACCATCACCCACAGAACTTGAATATGATTGGTTGGATGAATTAAATGCAGGACTACTTGAAGAGTAAACAGGGCCTGAATAGGATGTATGTATTAAATATAATATATATCTTAATTTAAAAAGTAGAATGGAATACAAAAATTAACCACACTTACCAAGTTCTTCTCTAGAAACAGAACAACCCAGTACTCCCAAATCAGCATTGAGGCTTGGATGGGGGGTATGATGTGGTGATCTGCCCAGTGATATGCTCGGGTATGATGTTGATGTTGACGCTTTTGAATCTTTACATGTGTGCTTCTGTAAGACCCTGATCATGGCATCTCGTTCGGCAAGTTTGGACTCTAAATCCTTCAATCTGAACAAGAAAGTACAATAACAGATTTGAAAAGTCCAACAGATCCTCATTAAAAATAAGCTACAATTTGTTTACTTAGAGCTTTACCTTGATTCAAGATCAGTTACAATTTTCTGTGCAGCATGGACTTCATCCATATGGCGAATTTTCTCTGTACGTGCTTCTGCAATAAGCTTTTCTGTTTCTTGGCTTGTTTTCTCCAATGCAGCAATCTTAGCATCCCTACAATACAGAAAAAATTAACCCTGAAACTGGACACACATTGAAGCCAAGAAGCAGATATTATTAGAAGCTTACTTGGGCAGGCTAGCAGCATCAATAGCTGCTTGACGCATAGAACTTTCTTCTAAATACCTCTGCTCCCACTTAGCCACTTCTCCCTCCAGAAGCATTATCTTTCCTTCTCGTTCTCTTAATTTCCTCTTCAGCTCAGCAGCTGTCTCACTGCCACTTGCACCTAAAACAAAAATGGAATGCATAAGTGCAACAATTGTGAAAAATGTGGCAGTTTGATTTAAGAGGAACTGAATTTAAAGAGTCATTTCTTCACTAACCTAGGTCCTCAGTTGTGGCTGCCCCAGCTGCACGAGCTCGTTCGTTCCTCAACTCCCGTTCTAGCTGCATTCTAAGTTTCCTTTCTCCTTGTTCCCTTCGATCACTTGCAAGTTGAAGGGATGATAGGACTCGTTGAAGTTGTGCCACTCTCTCTACATAAAGTTGCTTCTTGCGGCACTAATAAAATCAATTAAGAGTAACAATTAATAAAGGTAAGTAATGTGAAAAATTAAAACCAAGATAAAATTATCCAACCTCTTCCTCTAGTCGAACAACGTTGCTTTGAGCATTTTGGAGGGCAGTGTCAAGAATGTTAATGTGGGTACGCTGCTCTTGGAGTGTTACCCTCTGAGCAGCAAGCTCGATTTCCTGACGCTCCTTCGCAGCTGACAATTCTTTGTCTGAATAAGAAAGTTAAAAAAATAAAAATAATTTAGAACTCTGGATGACATTTTTTAAAAACAAATGGGGTGTTTAGTCAATTTAACTTACTCTGAGTAATCAGTTGTGCAATTAAAACCTCCCGTTTCCCTACATCTCTTTTCAGGGCTTCTACATTTGCAGTTTGATCTGACTGAACGGACCCACTAGGTCCCGAAGCATTTCGGCTGGTGACCATCTCTAATTGTTCCCTCAACACTCGGTTCACCTCTTGGATGCGGCGACAATCTGATTGCAATCTCGCTCTCGCCACACGCTCGAGCCGCTCTCTGCGCTCACAAGAAGCAACAAGCTCCTCCTGAGCTCGGTGGACTTTCTGAATTTCTTGTTCCAGCTGAACAAAACGAGGATGTTTAAAAACCAAAACCAAAGAGGGTTCTTTTTCAGCTGATTACAGTGAAGCACAGTCATACCTTGATAGACCTCGCAACTTTCTGCGAGCACTCGTTCAGTTCATGCCTCAAGAAATTGTTCTCATGAATGAGCATGTCTACCATTTCTACCGGGGCAGTGCGCTCCTCGTCCCGCGCAGCGAGCCTGCATTCACATTACAATCAATCAAATTGGGGATAGATAAAATAAAAACAATACATTACCGCTGTGCTTTGATGATTCCTTACCTATTATTGGCCAGGCCTACAATATCAGCAGCTGAAAGTAACTTTCCTTCACCAATTCGTGAAAGATCTGGTTGTGACCTAGAGAGAACCATTCTCTCCAGTGGATAAATTGCACCATTCGTTAAGTGCTTTGGAAGGGGCGATGCTGACCATTCTGTGTACTGAGGGGTTGGTGAAGATTCCTCCTTTGTACTACTGGCACCCACACTCGAGGGGATTGGATTTTGGCAATTGTTTCCACGATGCTCTAATGACAATCTATTCATTTGCTCTGTTGGGCCTTGGTGGCTTCTTTGATTGGTATCTGGAGACTGTCGGCTTATTACATTACCAGCAGTTGACCGGTAAACTTTAACTTCCTTGGCCAAATGTTTCAGAACCTTTCAGAGAAGGATAACAATGTCATGAAAACTAGTCTAGTTGCTGTACAAGAGGTATCAAGAATTAAACTCTACTAACCTGTGATTGACTGAGAAAATCATCAGGAATATCAATTATTTCCCTGAGGCTAGGACCGTACCACTGTGCTGAACGATCCCTGTCCCTATCAAGGTCTTTACTGCTGGCATTTCCACTACCACTAGAGGGTGAGGAAGATTCCTGATGGCCACCAGATCCAAAAGACCCGTAACCATTTTGGTCTTGAATATCGCGTATTCCAGACAGTCTAGTCAGAAGAAAATTAAAAATAAATTGATTAAAACAATACAAAAGTTGTCAATTACAACTAAAACAGACACAAATCTACTCATCACAAGATAACTCCATTGATACAACAATAAGTCATTACTTACCTCCCAGACCAAGAATCATCTAAAGTTCCATGAATGATGAGTGTGTTGTATGAGGAGGATGACACGTCAAGGCTGCTACGGTTGCTGCTATTATCAGGTCTGTTCAAACTGCTTCGATTGCTCCCAGAGCCATTCCCTCCAGTCATCCCAGCTCCCTCCAATTTGGCACTAAGACTGCTACGATTGCTGTTAGGGCTACTTTGGCTGCTCGATAACATGGCCATGTTTTCTTGTCCTTGTGGTTCCTGCCGTGCAGTATGTCGTATAACATATCGTTCTTCATGACTAAGATTTTCGTTCGAAGTAGAAATATCTGTTTCGCTCCCACTAAGACTTTGTGGGAAACCTCCTTAGATAGAAAAGAATGAAGCAATAACAAAACGGTTACAATTTGTATTATACTGAAGTAAAAGTAGAACTCTGCTTACAAACCTTACAACATCCTTCGTAAGCAAAAGAAAAAGGACAGAAATTTGAAAATATAAATGTTCATTCATGCGTTTTAATCAAGAATGCACAGAATACATACCAGCCCCATGGGTTTGCTGCTGACCCTGCTGTTGTTGTTGCATCTGCTGTTGCGGCTGCAGTTGTTGCTGACTGTGGAGCAGATGTGGTTGCTGTTGTCGTTGGGCACTATTTGAGTATGGGATATGTCTGTTCTGTTGAAGAGAACTCATTTTGACTTTAAGTCTGGCTCTGAGAATCTTTGAAAAAAACCATCAAGTCAGCTCACTGTACCTGAAGTAGGAAATACACTAGTTATTAAAACAAAATACAAAATTGTATTTAAAAAATAAATGTGCAAGAGTATTTTAGGACAGTATGATATATTGAAATCTATATTACGAAATACAAAATGGAGGTCAATAAGGGAATGCACATAAACCAAATAAGGTTTTTATAATGGACAGAGAAAATTCACACCATTCGTCCAGGAGACAGGATTGAAAACATAGTGAGCCTTAACCCTAAAAAGAATCTGTTGGTAAGAACTATTGATGTTGCTGTCGTGTCCTTTTCACTCATCAGGCTGTTCAAAGTCTTGGAAACACTTTCCGATAAAACTTACTGATAAATAAGCAACAGTACGTGGGAGATCATGCAGATTTCGACTTGACACTGCTAAGGAATTTGCAGCAACAGCGCAGAGAGGAGAGAGAGGGGAGATTCACCAAACAACAACATCAACAACAACAGGGTGATAAAAAAAACAACGTCAACATACCACACAAGATGAAAAAGTGATATTTCAGAATTTTTCTTCACTCCTTCGAGCAAGGATGTATGAGGGATTATGTCTTCCTAACTGTTCCCACCTTTCTTTATTATCAGTTCATCAAGCTACTAAAGTCATGTCCAGCAGAACATCGGCAGAAAAATCATCAGATTTTTAGGAACTGGCCATCCTGTGGCCATCACATCAGCAAGTCCTGTCTCTTTTCTGGCAGTTGAATCTCTCATAAGTTTTTTTCACAGATAGTCTCGCCCCCATCTACGCGCGTCACAGCTCCACATTTGGCGCGACATTTTGAAGAGTACCACAAAAAGTGCAAAGAAGAGGCGCACACGGCGAGCGACTCTTTGTCTCGACTAGGACTTCTCGTTTGACGAGGAGAAAGGGAAAAGTACTTTGTAAAGTACTTTGAAAAGTACTACGTGCTGAATGATATCAAGACCGAAACTACAGGAACGATTTCCCCTTCGCTTTTTGCAGTTGTTTCTCAGTGTGCGGGAAGTATGTTTTTATATGGTCATGTCAAAAGAAAATCCTATACTTATTTTAGTGCTTAGATATTTATTCAGGGATGAAAATACAATCACCAATTGAAAAACAAGCATGATGAAAATTCAGTTTATCTCATACAAATTGAAATTCTCACATACATTCAATGGACTGGAAAATTGACTCCGTGATCAAATCCATTTGAAACTAAATGAACGACATGATAAAACAGTCACAACACACCACGGACATGAGTAAAGAATTCGCTCATTTCTTCAAGGATCGGGTAGCAGCGAAGCGGCAGTGGTGGGTTGCGGCGCTCGGTGGTGACGTCAGACGACCCCGGGGGAAGTCCAGTTCCCTTCAAGCAGAAAGTAGTTACACAGTAGATTTCAAAATGTGCGCAAAGAAAAGTAAAGGGTGACAAAAAAATCTCGTTCCCCCTCACCCTTTTGCCGCTGCCGCGCAGAAGCACTCCATGCCCTCAGCGCGCGCTGCAGTCATCCTGAGGTTAAGCTGCAGTCAGTCCAGTCCAGGAGGTCCAGGTCCAGGACTTGGGACGTGTTCGTCATCAGCCCGGTGAAGAGTCCCGGAAACCGCCGCCCTTTAGCTGGTCGTCCTCACGCAGTTCCCCGCCCTCGCCGTGGTCATCAGACCTCCGTTCCCTGGAACAAAAGAGAGCAACCACTCAATTAGACCATACAGCCACGCACGAGCTCGTCACTAACCCTCTCCTGCACACCCCCGACGAACACCAACAAATCTTAAGTATATTTCGGATCAGCTCGTCACGTTCGCAGCTTTAGGCCCATGACTCGTACAGCGCTGAGCGACTCCGAGACAACACCACGTACACCGTCAGTCATCAAGGAGAGGGAAACGCCTCAGGTACAACAACTAACCACTTGGTTGATGACCAACGGACCGAGGTGCTGGCACTTCGAGGAAGGAGCAACGGTTCTTGTGGGTGACTCAATTGCAGGCCACTGGTGAAGTGACATGAAAACTGTGTCAAATTGTTTCTTTATGATATGAAAAGTAAAAAATTAATAATGAATTTAATGGATACTCCCATGTTAATTTGTTTTACATATTTTTTACATGATTGCACAGCTCGATTTGTGACATTTATGTAAGGTGTAGTAACGGATTTCAGGGGATTGTGTAAAAAAATACATATATTTGTGTTTTCCTGCAATAGGGAATAAAATTAGAGTGAACTTTATTCATCCTCCTTAAAACAAACAACATTTTACAATAATAGATTACAAACGTACACCACAGCATCTAAAAAATAAAAAAAAAAGAACTTGTGTGTTTCTTGAGGGCTATTTGTTTTTATTAGCACACTGCACGAAAAGATAAAGAGAGAAAATTTATTTACAATACATTTACTTACACAAGCAGTGGCATTACTTGATATGAGATGAGAGAATGATAATTGAAGTTCTGCAGTTCTCCCAGCCAGACTGCAATTAACTTACCACTAAACATGATTGACTACTAAAGGAAAAGTCAAAATGGCTAAAATATCCTGTAAATGTTGGAATTAATTAACATGACTTCTCAGTTAAGCCTGGATGGATACCAGAATAGGTTTTCAGAATTTCCAGTTTTTAATTATAAGGAAATAGTTCAACAAAATATTTAAGGGGAATGTTAGGACTAAGAAACCTATTCACAAATTCCAGTGCAAGACAGACTTTTACAGTTAAATAAAGTGACAATACAAAAAAAAAAAAGGCAGATAATGTGGCCTAAAGCAAACTGAAATCTGGCGATCAAGTCAAAGTTTTTCACTAAAAACATAATGAACTCCTACCACACAATCAAAACATTTAAGTTTAATTTCAATTACAAATTAATTGGTCTTATACCTGGAGTACAATTTACAGTATACGCAACATTACAGACATCCGAATGCTCTGTAAAACCTCACAATTTCATGCTGAAAAGAGAGATAGCTGAAGGGTGTCAACAAATGGATGGCACAGTAACAGTTAGCAAACACTAACTGTGCCATCCATTTGTGGACGATTAACAGGTGGGAAATCAGGAAGCAAGGAACTTATTACTCCGGCAGTCAAACAAATGAAAACAATTTCATACTAGCAATCAACATAAATAAAATTATCACATCAATAATGATACTGATTGCTGTAAGGTGCAACAGGGTACCCTTGTTGTCCTTGGTGCTGTGGGGGAGGCTGCTGAAACATGGCATTATTCCCATACCCTCCAAATCCTTGAGAGTTAAACGATCCAGATTGTCCTTGGTACATTGCATTACTGTTCTGCTGACCTTGATAGAACGCACCTTGTTGATCGTAGCCTGTTTCCTGATACTGATTGTAAGAATTAGACCCAAAGAAACCCGCACCACCGTTAAAATTCCCCATTCCCATGGTGGCTCCCATCTGACCAGCGACTGAGTTCGCCAACTCACCATATCCAGAACCATACATGCTTTGCATTGGTGGGACGGGTGGAGGAGGGATTGAGAGCTGATGAGACCCAGTACTGCTGGAGGAGAGAGCAGTCCAGTTCGCAGCACCCACTTTCAATGCTGCTTCACGTTCAATCCTCTCCTTCTCTTTCACAATGCGCTGCTGCTCTCTCTCTCTATCTTCAATAGCTTTTAAAGCTTGCTGTGCTTTCGCTTTTTCCTCTTCAATCTTTTTGTTTATTTCTTCCTGCTCGCGTCGCTTCTTTGCCTCCTCTTTCTCTTTTATCACAGCCACTGCCGCTTCGTGCTCCGACACTTTAGCTTTCGCCGCCTTACAAACATCGTCAAAGCTATAGTCGTCATCAGAATCGGTATCTAAATGCATGGCAGGCCTCTGTGTCTCAGACTGGGCCGGGTTGCGACTCTGCTGTCTCGAGGAGAAGGGCGACAGTCTCCCAGACTGGCCCACCTTGGCCAAGGCCTGCAGCTTCTCAATGGGTATCGTCGTCTTGGCGGCGCTCTTCGGGTTGGAGCCCGGGCCCAGATTGACATACTTGCGCAGTCTCTCCACCCTCACCGGGTCGGTGGCCTCCAGCTTCTTGAGGTACCTGATCAGGCCGTGCTGCTCGTCCAGTGGCAAGTCTTTAAAGCTCTGCAGCAGCAGCCTCAGGTCGGTCTCCGTGAGCTCGTCGACGTAGGCGTCTATCGCCTGGGCCGTCGTCAGGGCCGCGGAGGGTGCGGGCGGCGGGTTCGAGCCGACGGGGACGGCCGGCGCCTTGTTGGCGGGGGCCTTGACGGCGTCCGCACCGTCCACCGGGGTGCCCTGTCGCTCCTTCATCTGCTGCGACCCTTTCGCCTCGTCCGCATCGTACGCAGACTGCAGTAACTGCAGGCCAGTCACTTCGGGCGGTGCCTGAGGGGGGCGGAAAACGAACAAACGCGTCAGACACTTAAAATCGGGCAAGGACACTCAGTCAAGTGTATACAGTCAGCACCACAAGAAACTCGTCATTCGCGTTTGCTTACCAGAGGTCGGGAACCTACCTGAGTTGTAGGCTGGGCGGGTTTGGCCGCCGGGGGGTCGGCCTTGGCGGCCGGGGCGGGCTCAGTGACGGGCGGCGGGGGTGGGGCCTTCGGGGCCTCCTGGGCCTGAGCTTGGGCCTGCGCCTGGGCGAGCGCCAGGGCCTGCGCCTGTTCAGTCTCCGCCTTGGCCTGCGCCATGCCCACCACGGCGGCCACGAGCTGCTCAAGCTCGGCCTCGGACACGTCCGTCTTGCCCTGCAGCACGAGCGCGGCGGCAATCTCCCTGGCGATGGCCGCCTTGTCTACGGCGCCCACGCCGGGCACGCTCACGGGGTCGGGGGCGGGCGCCGGCGGCGCGGGGGCGGGCGCGGGGGTGGGCTTGGGGGCGACGCGCGGCACGGCGGGCGCGGGCACGTGAACCACGGCGGGCGGCTCCACCAGCCGGACGGGCGGGCGCGCGGGCGACGGCACCCTGGGCGGGGGCAGCCGCTCCAGGATGGCGGGCGCGCGGTACAGCAGCTCACCGATGCCGCCGATGGCGTTGCGCGTCGCGTTCACGTGGTTGCGCTCCACGATGCCGGCCAGCAGCTGGCCGCGGAACTTCTCGCGCACCGTCTCCAGCAGCACCACCACCTCGCCGTCGCGGAGCATCGCGTCAGAGTTGGTCGTCTTCTCCATGGCGATAGCCTCCGAGAGCACGCTGTTGACGCGCGGGCCGAGCGAGCCCAGCTGCTGCTCCAGGGCCGTCAGCATCCTGAGGATGGTGATAATGCGGGGCAGGGGCGGCGGCGAGCGCTCGCGCCACTCGGTGCGCAGCTGGCGGTAGGCGGGCGGGAAGTCCCTGTCGCGCTCCCGGTCGCGCTCCCGCTCCCGCTCCCTGTCACGCTCCCTCGCCGCGAAGGCGCCCGGCGCCATGCCCTCCTCCCAGGGGCTCGGGGAGCGCGAGCGCACCTTGCCCGAGCTGTCCGTCACGGGCACGCCGTCCACGTCGCGGACGAACTTCTTGCGCCGGTTGAAGTGCGGCTTGGGCTCGTCCACGGGCAGGTTCAGCTTCTCGCGCAGCTCTTCCTTCTTTTTCATAAAGTCCTGCTCATGCAACTCCCTCATCCGACGGTTCCAAAACTCTATCCACTCGGGTTTGAAATCGTGCTTGTTTGGGTCCTTGCCACTTGCTTGCAATTCCTGATCATGGGTAAGAAAAGAAAAGGTCAGAAAAGCAATTCATTTGATTCATTTCATCTCAGAAAATTACACTGAAGAAATCCCTTGGTACCTTGTACCGCTTGTTCCAAAACAACTTCCACTCCTCTGGATACTTGGGGTGCTTCTCTGGATTCTTCTCATGTTGTGACAATGTCTCAAGCATCTCTTTCTCTACAATTGCCAATTCCTCCCGGAATTTTTCCCACTTGGCCTTTTCTTGAGAAAGGTCATCTGCCCTGTAATGAAGCAAGGGAATTTAGAACAAGATAAGAGAGGCTCAAGAACTGTTGAGAACAACAAGTTAGGCTCCGCCCCGAGCACAAGCGTGCTTCACAATTCAATGTTCAATACCTATCCTTCGATCGCTTCCTGTCATCCCGTTTGCTATCACCGGGTCTGCTGCGCGGGCTTCTTGCCCGCCGCCCTCTACCATAGGGTGACCGCGACCGTCTGCTCCGTGACCGAGACCTGATTCGAGATTGGCTCTGTATTCTACAGTGGTTATAATACACCAAATCATTAGGTTAATAGTGGAACCTACCTTGATCTGGATCGCCTGTATCGGCCTCTAGACCGAGACCTAGATCGAGACTTTCTTCGTCGCCGACTACGAGAACCGGATCTTGAACGCGATCTTGAAAGAGAACTGCGCAAAACCCTCCCGAACTCATCTCTAGCTGAACTTGCACTAGAAATGGATGATAAAGAGCACGCATCATCTTCTTTCTTACTAGCTGCAGCTGCTGCTGCTGGTCCGGCTGGAGAGATAATTTAATTTTTTTTTTATGGAAGTTGATTTCACAATAGAGATGAAAGTCGCAGCACAAAGATCTTAAGCAAGACCGCAGAAATGCACATCACAATATAAATTTACTTACTGGGCTTTACTTGATTTTTATTAACACCTTCAGTTGTTTTGTCTTCACCTTCAATCGATATTTTACGGATACGAAGTTGCCGCGTAAGAGGAACACGTGTGCCTTTAACAAAAGCCCTGAAATGTTTTGTATTTAGTTTCACCACATTCAAAAACACTTCAAATACAATACTTGCTGGCAAAAATGAGCAAAACCATCAGCATACCCTTGAAATTCAATTTCATCATCATCTTCAGTGCCTCCTTTATTTTTATCAGAGGCCTTTGAGGGGGGATTTGCATCACGGACAGGAATTTCTAGAAATTTAATACAATATATACATGAGGGCATATTTTGCAAAAATGTTGCCCCAAATTTTCTAACCATTCATTGAGCAAATTTTACACTTTAAAATTTTAAAATATAAGAAAGAACAATGATCTATAAGGATGCTTAGAGAGGAAAGGTAGGCCCGTACCTTCATTTTTCATTGCTGCTGCTGTCAGTAGCTCACGATCTACCAGATGTACAAATGTATTGTCTGGAGTTTCACTGGAAAACAAAATTAATTTTAATTAAAAATGAAACAAATGAAATTGTTTTTAATGATAATTGATAAATGATATTAAAGAAGAATTTTCTTTAAGATAAAACTTACATAAAATGCTTGCCCTTGTTTATTGAACACATCAAATCAAAACGATTCTCTTCAAAATGTCTTCCATCAGTTGGTACAGGATGCAGTCGCCCTAATTTTTCTTCCATTTCATTAGAAATGCGAGTAACAATTTCAGCTAAACCTCGTCTGGCACCCACAGTTTTGGGCAAGGAATTAATTGCATTGAAAGTAATGGGAAAATGTCTTTCCTGTTTTGGAAAAATTGTCCCCAAGGTATTAGACTGAATATACAGCAATAATAAGTATTTTGATAAGATAGTAGGTCATAGCACAACTCTTACCAAGTACTTTGATCGGTGGTTGTAGCTGACCAGATGAGCCATGACTGTGCGGGGATCACCCTTCTTATCACACAACATGCAAACATATGATGATTCCTTTTCATAGTCATCATTTAGCTCAACAACATATTCAAGACCTATTAAAGGTGACGATTTGTGGTCATCCAAAGTGCTTTGAATATGAGTAAGGACTGGAGGTTCAGATTCCTCATCATCTTCATCAACTCCTGGTGGGGCTGGTTCACCATCTAAATCAAAAGCCAAGGTACATATTTAGACTTTGTTCAAAAGAAAAAAAACCAAACCTTAAAATAATGACAGCTTCAGAAGTTACCTTTCTTCTCCATTCTCATGAACTGACTTGCATGGTGCTTTGACACCTGCATGAGGGATGAGTGGTTCATGCTTCTCTCATGGAAAAGTAAGTTCTTAATGCCCATAAAAGTCATGTCACAAACATGACACTTCCATTGTGCATTATAACCTGTTCCTGATACAGAGAATACATATCCCACTGCACCATTGTCAAGGTCCACCTTCTGTTCCAGGAGGCGACTCTTGTCTGCTTCTTCCTGTGACTGCTGATTTCTAGGCACAGGCTGAAATGATGAACAGGTACAAAGGGGAACTGAGTATCACTTAACTCTCAGAACACTAGGGAAAATGTAAGAGAAACGTACCTTAGGCTTTACATTATTTTGTTTTCTTTCAATATCATCAAAAGACTTCTTCCCTTCAATATCAAAGTCATCGAATACATGATGAGATCCTCCTATACTGAAGTATCCCTCCATTTTGATAATTTTATCTTTAGTTACGATAGGATTTAACTATGCAGTCACCATTGGAAAAAATGAAGAAATCCTAAAAACAAAAAACAAAACAAAAAACGATTGATTGAGGAAAACATTAAGTAAAACAAACACGAGGTGAAATATCCATTCAATACAGGAAATGAACAAAATGGCAACACTAAACTGATTTTCTTATTGGGGTGAGAATTGCAATGCAAAAGAAATTCATCACTTATCGGAAGTAGTTGCTGATTATGCCAGTCACTGATTATAATTTCTAGCAAAACTAAGAGAAGCTACAATCTCTTGGAATGATTTCCATCAAATATGATTTGTGATGAAGCACGTGGTATCCTTATCTTACCGTTCATATTTGTAGACCCATTTTTATTTTCAATCTTCATGTGATAACTTAACAAATAATTGCACAAATTTGAAGCACTAACTGAATATTTTTCATCAGAAACATGGTTTAAAACTATAGTTGACTAATGAGATTATGTTTCAAGTGCTGTGCTAACCATGTAATGTAATTCCAGTCAACAAGACAGGTAAAATTAAAACAAAAGAAATGGCAGAGCCAAAAATATGACCTCAAAAAAGCATTGAAAATCTTGTTGTATGATTGTATGTGTGGATATGTCTTCACTAGAGGAACTTCAAACCTCAGTGTTGGCTGCATGTTATTCACTTACCAAACACAAGAATATCTTATTTACTGTACTCTTAGTCTAGATATGAATACTACTTACCAGGAACAATTCAAATAGCATAAGAAATAATACAGATGTGGTTCACAAATAGTGTGAAGCAAATCTTAGAAAAACTCAATGAAGTTTTTCCTAAAAGATAGGAAATTCCCTAGAGCATCAATAAGAGGCTCAATAATCATAAGTGTTTGTACATTTGCTACTCTTCTTTGTTTCAATTTTGTGACTACAGATATATGGATATTAGGGTAGTTATTTTAAGTCTGAGCCAGTCAGACAAAAAGTACATGAACAGTGTTGAAAAAGATGTATGCAACAGTAGCCATATTAGAGTAGTCATTACAGTTGCAACAACTTTTTGGAGGCAGCAGGATCACTATGTTCGTATGTTACGAAAAACTTCTGTGAAAACACACAGTGAACCTGTTTTCTTGAACCTGGAGAAAGCTTGGAGAACACTTGGGGGAGCTCAACGAAAGTCTTCGGAACCAATAATAATAGGGTAAGGGGGTGTAGAGAACGTTCTTCAGGGGAGTTTCCAGGGCGCTCTTCAATCTCTCTCCAGGTAAGAGGCAACAATGTATCGGCTGGAATTTTGGTTGTACCCACATAACATGCTCGCAGGTTTAACTTACTCCTACACGAAGACATTTTCTTCCAAAAAGTGACAAATCCATCAAGAAAGACAGCTCCTTACATGTAATGTCATCCATACGCAAAACATAGCAGCTCATTTTTTTTTCATTACACCTGTCAGTGCATTCAACAAAGGCAAACCATACAACACAAGTATGGTTGGGCAACGCACTACATACGTCTGAGGAAACGGTTGAGGCGCGAATGCGATTCATTCATCGACGACGAAGAAATCAGGGCTTGCCACAGATTACATAGCATTTAAAACGCGATTATAAACACGTCTTTAGAATAAAACATACAAGTGCTGGTTGGAGTAGGCCTACAGCAGCTTTCCAACCAACAACGCTTTGTCTCTCTGTGTTCTTCCAATTTTCATTCGAAACCACAAATTACGTCGGCAAACGCGAGCAAACATTATCACAAACATGTGGTAGAATCTTACATGGTGCAAGTCGGCAGGCAGGAATTCTTCAAACAGAAAACCTTTTCGAAGGCTGGCAATCGGGACGAGAAGATCCAACATGGACGACTACACAAACGGACAGACAGACCTTTTCTTCCTTTCTCCTTCTCTGCGAACTGGCCTTAAACTAGTTATTCACAGTCACAGTAGCCAAGAACAATTTGCACCGTATTGCTATTGCGTGTATGACTCACGGCTCAGAGGCTAGAAATGACAGTATGAAAAATAAAGGCCCCCAGCCGACTCTTATGGGTGTTTCCGGTTGGCTTCGTGTCCCTCCCGACCCCCCTCGCCTTGCCCGCAGTAGCGCAAATGCACTTTAAATGCACGCTAGCTGCGGCAATGAGCGTAAAAGCGAACACTTAAAACACTAATATCATTAGCCTCTTAGCAATGACTCATGGGTCGTTGCAAACTGCAATAGGTTTTGCCAACTTTTCTTTGCTTCTGTGAATAACTAGTTTCTGGTTTAAGGCCAGTCTGAAATGACGTCGAGAACGGAGACAATCGTCTTGTCTTCTGCTCTGTTGTTGTAGTCGTTGATCGCGTCGATCTCACCTGTCAAAATGACCCTTAGTGGTAGTTTGAAAAGGAACAGAAGGCCGGCGTTATAGAATTTCATATCCGATCTTAAATGTGTGAAATTACTCAATGTCGACGCAAAACTGTGTTCTATCCTACATCCTAAAATCATCTCTTACTGTACACAGGTGGGTTGTGGGTGTTTCCCAACACCGGTACCCGCCTCTCCATTGGTCTATATATTTGGATTTATTATGATTACCCGTTTGGAAATACTGCCTGTTGGCTCTTGTTATATTATTGGTCTCTGTTCATTTAAGAGTAGAATTTCTGGAGGAAGGCCGAAACGAATCATCGTGGAGGTTATGCAGACTCACTGTTTGTTATATCTTTATTTTTCTTCCAGGTCCACATCCTTTAGGTGACAAACATGGAGCCAAGATTTGCTGGTATGACATTTTTTGCCACCAGTCATGCGGGAGACGTATGTGGAACTAATGGCTTGCCTCTCACCCCCAATTCCATCACCATCTATGGGCGGTCACAAATATTACGAACATTTTCACATCCCAATTTATGCACATATTTGGATATAATTAGGGGAAAGCATGGTTTGTAATCATTTTTTTCCATTATATAGCAGTTGAAATGGGATTGTTTTGTCCTATTGCATCTTAATTTTCCCTGCAGAAAGAACAATGATAGTTTCGGAGTTTCATGCCCAGACTCTTGCCTTGCTTCAAGAACCTCTACCCCTGCTTGGAATTGTAAAGCTTTGTCACCAGACCCTCACTGCTCTGTCATACATCAATTCACATGATATTGTTCATCGCTGCCTGGCGCCAGATAACATTATGATTAATGCAAAGGGCAATGTCAAGTTATTTAACTATGGTTTATATTATATGACTGGGAAAGGTTCTGATGTTAGCTTTCCTATTGGGTAAGTGGCTTTTAATATTTACCTTATTTATGGATATATGTATAAATCTCATCAATTTAATGTTTTTGTTTCAAGAAATCCACGTTACATGGCCCCAGAGGTCTTCCTGGTTGACTCACAAATTGCTTCAGGTCCCAAAGTTGATGTTTGGTCATTAGGTATTATTTTGACTGAGCAAGCCTTGGGTGTGGAGCAGCTGTGGCCTGAGCTTAAGCTTGCTCAACTCATGCGCAAAGTATTAAGTCTCATTAACTGTAACTCGGATACCTCAGTGTTTTCAAGGATTGCTCGAGAACATAGTTGTTGGAGTAAGTATGAGGTAAGTCTAACATATTTACTTCTCCTTTGCAAAACATCTCTTTCTTAAAAGGTTTATTCAAAAGAAATCTTTTATTTTTAGAGTCTTCCCCAGAGTTTGGTCCATCTAATAAATTCATGCCTGCAACTGAATCCGTTAGACAGGCCTACTCCAAAGGAGCTTCTGGAATTTCCAATTTTTAAGGAATACTCTTTTGATGAATACTCTTTAGCTGAGAGGTATCTATCATTTTGTATCTGCATCATCACCAAGTCAAAATAGTGGTTAACCTGTGTACCTGTATAATGTGTTATATGTTACCATGTGATGTGTTTCTTTTTCAGACCAGATACTTTGGTAGAAACAACTCACCACCTCAACAGTCTTCCTTTACAAGAACTTTATTATCTTTGGCGGTTAGCTGGTGGTGATGTCCAAAGTGAATTGAAAAAACAGGGTTTGATTCGAACCATGCCCCCTATTCTATCTGTTCCCAGGTAATTAGATTTTTTTTTAATCTATCTTTATTGTAAGTTTTCTTATTTACTGTTTATTTTTTTTGTCTCTATACAGATTAGTTTTGCTAGAGGGAAGTGTTCTTGGCAAAAGAAGAGATCAGACATCATTACTAGATCTGAAAATCATTCCATTGTCCTTGGAATCCCTTAGAAACCGGCTGGCACCGGTTCCAGTTTCAGCTTACTATCCATTGATTACAACTAAGTATGGCTACCTTTCAATTTTCTGAATATTTAAGAAGAGATTATAATAATATTTTTAAAAATGTATTGCCCCAACTGTCCAGGTCAGATGTTTTAAATGATGCAGAAGAATGTGATGCAGCAGATTTGCCACTCATCATTCGAGAGAGGGATACAGAATATCAGTTTCGCCGTGTTGTGCTCTTTCGAAGACTTCTTGAAGTGAGCTAATTTCCTGTTGTGAACAGATCTGCTCTAACCTTTATCTTTATTCATTTCTATATCATGTATGAGGAAATTTTTTCTTTCAGGGTTATCCCCACACAAAATCAGCCATAGTTAGAGAAGCAAGGAAGGACATACCACCTTTATACCGGGGCAGAGTTTGGGCTGCACTTCTTGAAGTGGAAGGTGATATTGAGGCTCACTACCGAGAAACAGATAAAGAAACTCCTACCCACACTGATCGTCAAATAGAGGTGGACATTCCTCGATGTCATCAGTACGACGAGCTTCTTTCCTCACGAGATGGGCACCGAAAATTTAAACGAGTGTTGAAGGCCTGGGTAGAGCGAAACCCACAGTATGTGTACTGGCAAGGCTTGGATTCTCTTTGTGCTCCTTTTATTTATCTAAACTTTAATAATGAAGGTAATTCTATTTAATTTTTACCTAATCATGCTGTTAAGTACTGAAATCTAAACTTACTATTTCCTTCTTTTCCAGCCATGGCATTTGCATGTCTATCAGCATTTATACCAAAATATTTGCACAGATTTTTCCTAAAGGACAATTCTGCTGTTATAAGAGAATATCTTGCAAAGTTTACTCACGTCATAGCTTTCCATGATCCTGATCTATCAAACCACTTGCAAGAAATAGGATTTATTCCTGAACTCTTTGCCATTCCCTGGTTTTTAACCATGTTTTCACGTAAGCTATTGTCTTCATTTATAATAATCTCTTTCCGATTTTCTATCTTACTGGTAAGTATGTTACAGATGTTTTCCCTCTCCCCAAGATTTTGCATCTATGGGACCAACTCCTGTTAGGGGATGCCTCTTTCCCTCTCTATGTTGGATTGGCTATTCTCCAGCAACATAGAGATACATTGCTTTCCTCTGGGTTCAATGAATGTATCTTACTTTTCTCTGATCTTCCAGGTAATGCAACATGAGTACTTTTCCTTTTTTTTCCCCATTTTGAATCGCTGATATATAATTTACATTAACCCATAACTATAAAATTGTATTGCAGAGGTTGATATTGAAAGATGCCTGTCAGATTCGGTTGCATTTTATTGCTGTACTCCGAGAAGCACGACTTTTCGCCAACATGAGCGATGTCCTAGCAAGGCAGGCCTTAAGAACAAACCTTGTCATCCAGATTTGGTGAGTTGTTGTCATTCTTTTTTGTTCTATTCGGTATTTTTATAACTCATGAATAAAGAAAAACATAGTCTTTATATTGTTTGTTTGTTTTTTGATTTTATATTTTTTTAAATTTGATTGAAAACCAGGAAATGAGTGCACAAACTGTTGCTGAACTCCAGGCTGAGTCTTGTCCTCGTATTAGTGGTGCAGACCTTTTGGACCTTTTGGATTCCTCTAAGTTTCCTCGTCCAAAAGTCATGGTGATAGATATACGGAGTCCTGAGCTGTATAATGTGGGTAGTGCACCAGGAAGTATAAATATACCTCATAGCCGTTTCGATCTGACACAAGAAATCCCTCAGCTTCCCTCTTGCCCTGAAGTTAATATTCTTCTTCAAAATCGTGGTAAAATTTTAGTTGTAGCTGGACAGGGCGATTCTCCTTGTGCAATTCAGGTATGGTTGATTAAAAGACTTATTGCGTTCCCAGTTATACCAATTTGATGACATTTTTATTTTACACTAAGTATATACCTTTCAGATTGCTCAAATATTTTTGCGCAATGGCCTTCCGAAGGTTTGTGTCTTGCATCGTGGTATTGATGTCCTGCAACTTGCAAATCTGCTCACCAAACCAACTGCCATTTGATGACCAAAACATCGCCATGCTGTGGCAGCTGCAGAATTCTTCACAAAAATATTTAGCATGGCCAAACCCTAAGGATGAGGGACTTTCCTCATGCCTGTGCATTTAGCAGCAGAAGATTATTTGTGTTATCCATGGAAAACATGCTGTTGGCAGACTGCTTAAACCCCAAATAATGAACAAAAAGTGTACAGCGCTTTAAACCAAGAACAAGTGACATTTTTTTGTGTCTAATGATATTGTTCAGGTCTGTAAGCTCTCTTAAAATGTCGTTTTGTATCCATAACATTTCCAGCAACAACATGTACCCAACAAAATAATATATTTTTTACAAAAATATACTACTGTGATATCAATCAAATATTTTCTTTCCTTATAATTTGTATTTAAAAAAAAAAAATCAACAATAAATATTTTTTACACTATTCTACAGATCTGTGTCCTTTTTTTCTTGTCCAGCCACATGCCCTTTTTTTTTGGCTGCTTTTGAGGTGGAGACTTTGAAGAAATCCACGACTTCCCTCGCACTACCAACCAACCACCACAACCGACCACACCAGGCTAGTGGCCCATAGTTGTATGAGAAAGTGCTGCCGTACTCGTGCGGTAGCCTGGGCGGGTGCGGGGGTGCGGACGCGTTGGGCGGGGGAGAGCCGATCGATACGGCCCGTTCCCGTGGCCGGTCCCGGCCCACCCCCTCGCGAGGAGCGCGTCCGAGGACGCGGCATCGCGTCGCTGCTCGCCCCATCCCGGGCGCGCTGGCCGCGGCGGGGCTGCGTCCGCGGCGCCGCCAGGGCCGGGGGTCTGGGGGGCCGCGCTGGGCTGTGCTGTCGGTACTGCGCGGCTGTCCGGGGCGCGCGTCGCACCGAAGCCCTCCTCCGGCTCGCCGCCACCAGGACAACACGGCTGCTGCTGCCGCCGCCGGCCTGCGCCCAGAGCGACTCCTTGGCGCCGCCCTGCTGACGTCGCCGTCCTCGCAACGCATGGTGAGTCCAGATCAGCGCACTGCTCAGCGCCCCCTGAGGTGCTGTCGCCCGTCCTTTATAGTGCCGTGCAGTGCCCCGTCCAACCGAGCTGACAGGTGTCTCGTCCTCCTTCGCGTGGGGGAAAAGGAGGGGGGCGTGGGGCGTTTGGTTCCTCGGCGTGGCCCCCGAGTCGTCGTCGACGCACTCTTCCAGAGACTACGTAAGATTTACACCCCCACTAGTCACGGTTGTGTGTTGTTTAGGTCCACGCTTGTGTGTTCGTGCGCGCGTGTGTGTGCGCGCACGCGCGTGTGAGTGTGAGAGAGGGGGCGCGAATATAGAGAGGTGCAGACAGGTGCGGGCCATACAACATGAGGGCTTCATCAAGATGAGGCGATAATGTTTACGATTATATCACGACAAACGCGTCGTCAGTCGCCGTCAATAACAGAAGGAGATCACTTACATAACTAACTGCTGTTTTCTTTTTCTTCGGAAATTTCGTGCTCCGTCAAAGATTGACAATCATATCGCCATCGCTGTTCTGTATTTATCTCTCAACCTCACCCCCCCCCCCTCAGCCAGCCGCAAATGAAATGGGCGACGACAAAGGGGAGGAGCCGGATTTAAAAGAGAGAGAGAGAGGGATTTGAGTTTTTATCGCTAGTACCAAAGAGGACTTTGGGATCCTATGCCCGCAGCAGAATGCATATTCTCGAGGCGAACAATGTCGAATGAAAGCGGCGAGGTGAAAGCCGCGGAAGCTCGCGACATACAAAGTCGCAGACACGCAGATGATATGATGCGCTCTCGGGGAATCACGTCGGTAGGGCGGCCGCTTACGGAAAAGAAAAAGGGATATAGTCTGCCACTGCACCCGGACCATCATAAAGGGGCTCGGCCAATAGTGAGGGAGTCCCTCTCTTGGCTCTATCCGGGGAAACACAAAGTTCGTATCCCTTTTCTTCGCTTTCATAGTATAGAGCTTACCTAGGATTAGCGAAAAGAACGAGTAAAATGGAAATAAACTCATGGATCGCATGTCATATGAGAGCGCACTACTGTGTCAAACTTGAGACCAAAGTGTGTGTTGCTCTGATATGTCCCGGCATATATGGGAATGGAGTGGATAGTTGTTTAAAATACAAGTAACTCTCTCTGTCTTGCTGACCACCCAATTGGGGAGGGAGCTGGGCGGGAACAGAACAGCTAGCAGGGGGTGCGACCGCCGCTACGCGTCAGCTGACCTCCCCAGCTCCGTATGTCCCGTTCTCCCAAAGCGTCGAACCTCCTCGCCGCTTATTATCGTCCCGGAGCTCTCTCGTCTGCAGCCATCGAACAGCTCCAGAAGAGAGACAATCGTAAAGGAATCAAAATCAAAAGCAGCGAATCGTATTATTGCAGCCGCTGCGCGCCTGCGAGCTGGGCGTAGGCAAGCCGCCGGACAGGCGCGCTCCGCGGGTCTGCCCATCCCGCCGATGGCGGGCGCTCCGCTCCGCTGGTGGTGGAGCTCTTCGGGCTGTGCCCAAACCACGTGACTTTGAGGGGGGGGGGGCAAATATTATGGGGTCCTAGGGTTGGAAGCCCTCCTGGAAAGTTTCCTAGGGCTGGAAGCCCTGGAAAGTTTCCTAAAAATTTTCCGGAAAATTTTGAAAATAATTTCCAATCCTACGGGGTCCCAAAAGGTCGGTTTAGGACGGTCATTAGAGTCAACAGAAACCCCATGATATTTGTACCCCGTGGTGAAAATACCATCATGGGTTCCCCATTATCGATTCCAATGACCGTCCTGAACCTTTTGAGACCCCATAATGTTTGGACCGCCCCTCCTCGCCGAAAGTTTGGGCACGATTCGCGCCCCGGCCTATGCGGCGCCGGACTGCACCACGTCAAGTGCAGCGCTCCACTGAC